GTGCAGAGCCCAACACAGGACTTGATCCCAAGACCCTGGGATCATGACCTGAGCTGAAATCAAGAGTGGAACACTCAGGGATATCTGCATGACTCGGTTAACCTCGGACTCTTGATTTTGGCTCAAGTCATGATCTCACAGTTCTGTGAGTTCAAGCCCCATGCTGACAGCATGGAGCCTGCTTGGGATTCTCTCTTTCCCTATCTCTCTCTCTCTCTCTCTCTCTCTCTCTCTCTCTCAAATAAATATTTAAGGGGCACCTGGGTGGCTCAGTCGGTTAAGCGTCCAACTTTGGCTCAGGTCATGATCTCGCAATTTGTGGGTTTGAGCCCCGCGTTGGGCTCTGTGTTGACAGCTCAGAGCCTGGAGCCTGCTTCAGATTCTGTGTCTCCCTCTCTCTCTGCTTCTGTCTCTCTCTCTCTCTCTCTCAAAAATAAATAAATATTAAAAAATAAATATTAAAAAAAAAGTGGGACTTGAGCTTTGTCTGTGGCTTTCCAGCTCTTGCTTGAAGGACTGTTCTGAATGAGGCAGGGGTATGGATGAGGTAACCCTCACCCCCACTCTTGGGCTGGGGGCAGCTCCAGCATTCAGTCTGGGCTCCGTGCTCCCAGAGTCTATTCTTGTTCTTGCCTTTGTGCCTCTGCTTAGTGCTCCTTGTTGCTCTCAGGGATTTATGTTGGGTAGGTCAGGGGTTAGAGACGTGGGAAACAGAGCCCACATCCCTGGAACCTTTTCTGTAGATCTGTCCTGTACTTGGAGCATAATGTTAGGTGGCCTGGGTTCACCCATCAGCTCTGCCGCTTAGCTGTGTAATTTTGTCAAGATCCTAAACCTCTCTGCGCCAATGTCCTCTTCTGTAATATGGGGAAAGTGGCAGGACCTGGTGTGGTTATAGTGATTAAGAGAGTTAATACATATATAGTACTCAGAACAAGGCATGACACACGTGCCATATAAACGTTTACTATTACCTGAAATATTACTCCTAATATTACCCTGTGAGGTAAGCACTATCATTCCCATTTTACAGGTGAGGAAACAGAGTAGGTTCAGAGAAGTTAAATGACTACCCTGGGGTCACACAGAAAATAAGTGGCACTGCCAGGACTGAAACTCAGGTGAAACTCCAGAGCCTAAAGGCCCTTCCATTGTTCCACAAAAGCAGTAGGGCGTTCCTGTGCAGGATCCTAAACGTATCTGAGCCTCTGCTTTCTTTTCAGTTAGGGGGCGGGTGGGTGGAGTAGCAGAGTCTGTCCCACCAGCCTCCCGTGGGGGAGGGGCTGGGGGCACGTTGGGAGCCCTGCAGAGGCGCCCAAGCCCACCCAACTGCGGGCCCCGACCACCCCCAGATGGCCTACCAGGTGGTGGAGAAGAGCGCAGCCCTGGGCGCCCTGGAGTCGACGCTGGAGGAGCGGCAGAGCAAGTGAGGCGCCGCCAGGGCGAGGGGGACCCGCCCACTTCTGGGTGGCTCGGGGCCATCTCTGCCCGGGGACGGGGTGACCCTGCGTGTCTCCAGCACGGCCCGAGGGCTTTCCCCACGTATTGGGCTCTGCGGCCCCGAACGGTAGGCCTGAGTGGAAGACGTGATTGGAGACTTGGCTTTGCTCCCTGCCTGACCGCGTGACATGGGCAAGTCCGTCCGCCTCTGAGACCCGCTCCCACTGGGCGACTACGGAGAGTCTCTCCCTTACCCCCTCCTCCAGGCTGGCGGCTCTGGAGGCCCGTGTGGCGCAGCTGCAGGAGGCGCGGGCGCAGCAGACCCGGCACCTGGACGCGCAGCGGGCGCTGAACGTAGCGCAGCGGGCGGCGTACGAGGCGCTCCGCGCGCAAGCCGGGCTCCAGGAGGCGGCCCTGCGTAGGCACGAGGAGGAGGCACGTGACCTGCTGGAGTGGCTCGTGCAGCGCAAGGCGCGCGCTGCCGCCGAGCGCAACCTGCGCAATGAGCGCCACGAGAGGTGAGCGCGCCGGGCCCCGCCCCTCGGAGACTCGAGCGTCGTGCTCCTTTGGGGGCGGGCACGGTCCGAGCTTCACTGCCCCGCCTCGTGGCGCGTCAGGGCGGGATCCGGCTCTCGGGACGATTTTCTCCCCCCAGGGCCAAGCAGGCGCGGATGTCCCTGGAGCTAAAGAAGGCTGCCAAGCGGACAGTGAGCATCAGCGAGTAAGAGTCGGGGTGCGCCAGGTCCTGCCCGCCGAGGGTTTGCAGCCCGTTCTTCCCCGCGTGCTCTAAAGCGCTCTTTTCTTTGACTTCTGCCTGCAATTCTACCCTGTCCCCCACGTGTCCGCAAGAGGCTCCCACCTAGACTGAGCGCACAGATCACGTGCAGACTCGTGTGGTCAGAGGAGCCCAAACGCCTGCCCGCCACACGTGTGCCCGCACAGACTGCTCTTCACAGTGTTGGGCGCCGGGGCGGGGCGGGGGGCGGGTCAGGGAGGGGCTGGTCCCTTGGCCTTACTGAGTTTCACCCCCTCTCCCAGGAGTCCAAACACTGTAGGTGATGGGATCAGAGAGATGGCTGAGACTGTGACCCTGACTGCTGAGCCCCTATCCCTGGAGACTGAGGCTGGTGAGAGGTGGAAGAGGCCCTTCAGGTGAGGACTGTCCCAGAGCTCTGAGCCGGGCCCCACTCTGGAGTCTCCTCTAGGGCCTTGGGGCCAGCTCTTGGGCTGAGAGGGGCTTGGGGAGACGCGGCAGTACAGGTCACACCTCCCAGGACAGGTCTGACCTCCAGTGCTTGGAGTCTCTTAGGATCATTGCGGCCTTAGGGACTCCAGCGCCTCTTTCTCTCCTTCTCAGGACTAGAGCTCTGGGGGTGGGGTGTCAGGCTGCTGAAAGGGTGTCACCAGGAGGGAGCCTGTGGGGAAGGCCCAGGACTCAGCTGTCACAGGCATGTGTGTAGGCATAGGTGTACAAGCACATGTACTCACATGGACGTGAGAGCACATGTGTACACACCTGGGGGAGCATATCGGAGTACGTGTGAACATGTGAGCATGTATAGGTGTGAGCTCACATGGACTGTGTGCTGAAGCCCACAGACTGGGGCTTCAGTCCGTGAGGGCCCCTCCCCTCAGTCTCCCCATTTGTCTCCATTTATCTGTCATTGAAACTGCCTTCCCCCCATCCTTACTCCATTCCCCAGCCTGAAGGCTTCTCTTTCAGCCCTTCCTTGCAGATCACTGGTGTCCATGCCTGGGGGCAGTGAAAGAACTTTGGGGAGGAGCTTGAAATGCTGGTCCTGAAAGTTCTTGGCAGCCTTTGTGGGCCAAGTCCTCCCAGGACACACCTTCTTCTGGGCATTATTTTTAATGTTTGTTTTTAATTTTTGAGAGCGAGAGGGCACGAGCAGGGGAGGGGCAAAGAGAGAGAAGGAGCCAGAGGATCAAAAGCAGGCTCTGTGTTGACAGCAGTGAGCCCCTGTGGGGCTCGAACTCACAAACTGTGAGATCATGACCTGAGGCGAAGTCAGATGCTCAACGAAGTGAGCCACCCAGGCGCCCCTCTTGTGGGCACTTTTGAGGTCACTCAGCAAGCTTAGGTTTTACCACCCCCGGTAACTACAGCCTTGTGGTATCCCAGCCTCAGGGTACCTTCACCCTTTCCCCTGTAGGCCCCAGCTCAGCCTTCCCAGAACTTTTTGTGTGTGGGGGGGCATTTGGGTGGTGAGGCAGTTCTTACCATCATGGCGGAAACTTTGGGAGACTTCATTGCCACATCCCTCCCTGCCTCCACCTTCCTGGGACTGCTCCAGGTCATCGTATTCTCCTGGTCTGGGAGGAACCAAGTTCTTGTCCCAGGCTTGAGTGGCTGTGAGCCTCAGGGTCCCCAGCAGAGTGCAGGGATGAATGGCTGCACACTCACTGGCCAGTCCCTTAAGCATATCTCTTTCGATTCTACCCCAGGTCTGCCTCCGCCACCTCCTTGACGCTCTCCCGCTGTGTGGATGTGGTGAAGGGGCTTCTGGAGTAAGTGTGTGTGTGTGTGTGTGTGTGTGTGTGTGTGTGTGTGTGTGTGAGTGAAGGGGTTGGGCCCCTTAGAGGCCTGTGTCAGGCTTCTGGCGTCCAGGCTTGGTCTGTGTATGTGCCTCAATCTGTCTGTCCATGTGTTGTCCAGTTGTCTGTGTGAGTCTCTGCTGCCTCTCCCTGAGCTCATTCCAGGCCCTGCCTGGCTGTCCTCGACTCTTTGTCCCTCATCCATGGTCCATGGACCAAGGTCTGCAGTCTGAGCCTGGATGGGAACTATCACTCAGGAAAAGGCTCAGATGTGTCAGGACTTGTTCTGAGTTCCAGAGCCAAGTGGTAGCAAGGCTAAGACTGAAACCCCAGCCCTGAGGTTCCTCTGCATCTATCAACTCTACTCTCTGCCCTTCTCATCTCCACACTGACCCCTGGGGTCAGAGACTGCGTTGGGAACAAGCTCGCTGCACCTCTGGGCCATGTTTTGCCACCATTCGTGTTTGCTTCCTATTGTTGTTGCCTCAGGAGTATGAGGCTCCCGTGTCAGAAGGCCTTGCCAAATGCCTTCCTGACACCTGCCCCCCACCCAGTTTCAAGAAGAGGAGAGGCCACTCTGTTGGAGGAGCTCCTGAACAGCGATACCAGAGCATCCCTGTGTGTGTGGCCGTCCAGCCTCCTACCCAGGTTCAGGATGTGCTGGTAAGGGAGGAGCTGGGCCACATGCACGGGGTGCTGACATGGAGAGTGTAGGTTCCAGGGGTCATCCAGGGAGGCCAGGGAAGCAAGGCTGGGCACCTCACCAGGAGCACAAGCTCTCTTTCCCCAGCCTGTAGTAGAAGTCTCTCAGCATTTTATAATCGGCATGGACTGGAGAGGGAGAGCAGGATGCCAGGCAGGGGAGTATGAGGATGTGTAGCGGGAGGCTGCTGCAGGGCTGATGAGACCCGATGTGTAGGTGTGTGCATGTGAGAGGGACCCTGTGAGCCTGTGCCAAGAGGTACGTATGGTGAGGACCAGGGCCACCACTGTCTCTTTTTCCCATAGAATGCCCACCTCTCCGAGGTCAATGCTGTTTGTTTTGGCCCCAGTAGCAGCCTCCTGGCCACTGGAGGGGCTGACCGCTTCATCCATCTCTGGAACGTTGTGGGAGGTGAGGGTTCCTCCCCTGTGGGCCAACCTAGTGCTTTCTCTCCAGACCCCACCCTCAACTTGCTCCTTGGTGGGCAAAGGTCTTGGATCTGTTTGTGTTTCCTCACATGTAACATTCTTAAGAGCAGTGGCCAAATGGCCCCTTGGCAAGAGTTCTGGGCCAAGCCTCCCAGCTCTTGGGGTCCAGGCCTGCAGGATGGGGAGGGCTGAGCTCGATTGGTCCCTATTTGGGGAGGTGGGGGTCCCTTATCCTTAGGTCCTGTAGGGGCCCTTGAGGAGCCGGTCCCTGGGGTCCACCAGTGGTCTCCTCTTCTGGTATCACTTGAGCTCTTAGAACTCAGGAGATGAGTGTTGGCTGTTTACCCTGTGCTTGTAGAGGCGGGTGTGTTGACGAGTCACAGTTAGCTCCTGGAGACTTCCTAGAGAAAGTCTTGGCCCTGGCTTGCCGTGTGACCTAGTGACAGTCCCTTGTCTGTGGTCCTCTGTAGCCCTGCTGTTCCCTGGAGCCCCCTGCTGGTAATTTGGGGGAGGTGCAGTCTCCAGCCCAGGTCCCCAGAGTTTTGTTCTCTAACTTGGGAGAGACTGATCTTCCCAGCTCCTCCTTTTCATGAGGTTAGTGACCCCACTTCACCTGTCCTTTCCCCGGTCCCCCCAGGTCGTCTGGAGGCCAACCAGACCCTTGAAGGAGCTGGTGGCAGCATCACCAGCGTGGACTTTGACCCTTCGGTGAGGGACCTTTGCCTCAGCGGCATGGAATGCCTGTTGTGTGTGCCCCCCTGCCCATCTCCACACTGAGCAGGTGGAGGCTCTGGGACATAAGGGAACATCATGGATGTCCCAGAACCAGTCCTGGCTGCTACACAAATCTTCTCTGGGCCTGGAAGCTACTCTGCCTGCTTGGGTGACCTGGGCTGTGGGAAGCTCTGAGGCTATCTGGCTTGAGGGATTTTGCTTCTGTCAGGGCCCAAGTTCAGGACCTTTCCCTTCCCCTTCCATCTCTCCAGGGCTCCCAGATATTGGCAGCTACTTACAATCAGGCTGCCCAGCTCTGGAAGGTGGGGGAGGCACAGTCCAAGGTAAGGCGTGACTGAGGAAGCAACCTGGGGTTCAGGGGTCATATGTTGGACCCCGGGGGAGGTGTTATGGAGTCTTGGCCATCCCCTTGATCCATACCTGGGATGTGGGGGCAGGAGACACTGTCTGGACACACAGACAAGGTGACGGCTGCCAAATTCAAGCTAACAAGGCACCAGGCGGTGACTGGGAGCCGAGACCGGACAGTGAAGGAGTGGGACCTCGGCCGCGCCTACTGTGAGGTCCAGCCCTTTCCTCTCCCTCCCTACCTGCTGGCACCCCAGGCCGGGTCAAGAATACTTCAGCCTGTTCTCTGGGAGTGGCTCCAAGATTCACGGGCATTTGGGGTGAAACCTCTCAAGGCCTGTCCTTCTCTATCCCCCATCAGTGCTTTTTTTTCTGCCTGGTTTCTTGGTGACTTCAGGCTTTGGGCTGGGAAGCAGAGGATCTGGGTTCTAATTTGGGGAGGATGCTACCTCTCTGGGGCTTCTGGGCTTCCAACAACCCTTTTCTGAGGCTAGGGCTCTAATCCTTGGTCCCCAGGCTCCAGGACCATCAATGTCCTTTCGTACTGTAATGATGTGGTGTGTGGGGACCATGTAATCATTAGTGGCCACAATGACCAGAAGATCCGGTTCTGGGACAGCAGGTGATGGGCATGGGCTGTGGGTGGTCGAGGCATGGGACAGGCATCTTGTGTTCTCTTTCCTTTCTTTGGACATGGAGCCATGGAGGCTGTGGTGGCCTGTCTGTGCTGGGTTTGGCCCCTTGAAAGCTCCACTGCCCCTGGGGACCTGTGCCACCGTTTTAGTGGCTCTTGGTCCGACTGCTGGACTCTGCCTGGGCCTTGCCAACCAAGCCCCCTTTCCACTTAGTTACCGCTTTTTAATCAAAGGGAACAAAAGTTTTCGTTGTTTTTTAAATCTGAGAGCTCAACACTGGGCTTGGATGGTTTATAAAAGCCAGTGCTGGAGCCAGTGCCAGGCATGCCTGAAGCTCCTCCTTCCTGGTGTATGGTGATTGCCGCGTGAACCCCCTTGCTCTCTTTCACACAATTAAAGGCAACTCTCATGGTTTTCCCTCCAGCACTTATTTTAGTGACCCAGGGGTTTCGAGGCCTCCAGCTTTGAGTCAAAGGCTGCCTAAGATTTTGTTGGAGAGGCTGGCTGCAGTGGGAGAAGGGAGATTAGTCAGTGTCAGCCCTGGCCCCAGTGATATGACAATGGGGCACTTCTGGACTCTGTTAACCTGCAAGGAGTGGCCCGGGTGGGCTGCTTCTCATCCATGCTTTTGTCTTTGCTCCTTAGGGGCCCCTGCTGCACCCAGGTCATCCCTGTGCAGGGTCGGGTCACCTCTCTGAACCTCAGCCATGACCAGTTGCATCTGCTTAGCTGTTCCCGAGATAACACACTCAAGGTCATTGACCTTCGTGTCAGCAATATCCGCCAAGTGTTCAGGTACCTGCCTCGTGCCCACTGACACTGTGGCTTTGGCTGGGGCAGCTGGGTCTCTCAGCCCTTGTTAAGGGTCCTTCTGGACCTGTCAGCGGGGGACCCATCCTGGAGGCCCTTCTGGACCAGGGCCCGCTGAGGTGCCCAAGCCCTTGATGGACAGAAGAAGCTCTTGAAGCTCCTGGCCAAGGGCAGGGATTGGCAGCCACATTCGTTCTGACCCCTATCTTGTCTGTCTTCAGGGCTGATGGCTTCAAGTGCGGTTCTGACTGGACCAAAGCCGTGTTCAGGTATGTCTGTGAGAGCACATGCCTGTGCCAGAGTGTGCCCCATCTGATCACGTCTGTCGGTGTCTGCGTCATCACCTCTGATCATCTCTTGCTTGTTCTGCTGTGGCCACTGCAGTCCAGATAGAAGCTACGCACTGGCAGGTTCCTGGGATGGAGCCCTTTACATCTGGGATGTGGACACTGGGAAGCTGGAGGGCAGTCTACGGGGACCCCACTGGTGAGCATAGCTACCACCTGCCCAGGGCCAGTGCCACCCTGGCCCCACTGCTGCTAAGCCAGTAACAGGTTCTGACATGTTTGGGACCTTGGAGGCCCTAGTCCTTGTCCCACACCTTCCACCTCCCAGAGCCCTTCTTGTTCACAAGGTGCTTTCCCATGTGCACGTGGGTCCATCTTCACCACAGCCCCGTGAGCCCACTTTATAGGTGAGGCAGCAGGCTCAGAGGGAGCCTCAAGCTGCCGGCATCCCATAATGAGGAGTGGAGCCCGGCCTGCAGGCCTGGCTCCCGATGCCTCCCTGAAGCCTGCCTCCCCTCTCCTCCCCTCCCCTCCCCTCTCCTCTCCTCAGCACTGCTGTCAACGCCGTGGCCTGGTGCTACTCTGGGAGCCACGTGGTGAGCGTGGACCAGGCCAGGAAGGTTGTGCTCTGGCACTAGTGCCATGACTCCTGCCTGGGCTGGAGCTCTAGTCTAAAGCCTGAAGCCAGAGGACAGCTTCCCGCTGCTCACAGGGCTCCAGAACCAGTGGGGGTGGGGATAGGGTGGAGGTGGCGGTGGCTTTAGGGCATTTAGTGGTGAATAAGGCCTGGCAGGACCTGGCCTGTCTGTTGAAGAGCAAAGTGTGTGTGGTGGGGGGGGGGGGTGGGGGGCTGTGAGGCGGGTTAGTTTTGTTTGTTTGTTTGAAATCCCTGACTTCTTTCGCTGACAAAAGTGAAAAAAAATTGCATCTAAACTGGTGTCTGCTTGCCTTTTTGCAGCATTCAGGTAGCAGAGAGATCTTTGGGCTGGTGGCTCCAGGACACCTGTGCTTGGCTCCCTTTCCTCCTCCTGCACAGAGCTGGGGCAGAGCCAGTCTGGCCTCAGTGCTGTTCATGTCTGAGGAGAAGGCATGAAGAAAGGCTCAGAGGTGACAAAGGGCAGTGGCTCTTGGAGCCATGGAAATTTCACCCTTGGTCCAGGCTGGTCCAGAGGCCAAGCCAATACCTTGGGTCCTCCTGCTTCAGGAGGGTAGACTGAGCTGTGGAGGGGCCATGGGAGTTTGAGGAAGGGAGCAGGGGAAGCAGCCCAGAGGGGCTCTGGTGGAAAGGGTTCTAATAAACCAGAGAGTGAGGTCAGGTACTTAGTACACCAGGCCTGCCTTTAGATGGGGGCATGTTCTTGCTCCAGAGGCAGAACCCTGAGTGAATGGGGAATAGCCTGAGTATGTCTGTGTCTTGGGGAGGGCCCCCATGGGCTGGGCCTGGGTTGGGGCTTGTCGGCATGACAAGCCTCTGTGGTACTCGGCAGACCCGACAGGGCAGAGCCTGCGCACCCCAGTTCCTTTGTCAACTTCAGGTATGGAGGAGTCATCAGCAGGACAGCCATTGCCAGTCACAAGGCAGTCACAGGAAGAGACCTTCGTCCCTGAGTGATGGAGCCTTACTTTTGAGATTCTGCCCATCTGAGATTCAAAGGCTTCAATCCAGAATTATCGGTTTTCTCCTTTATCACAGTAGAAAGTCTCCCTGGGGGTGACTTTGCCATTTCCAGAATTTGGAAACCATTCCCAGGATGAACAGCAGATTGCTGAGAGCCTGAACTCCACAGCCAGGCTGTCTGGGTTTGAATCTCAGCCCACTATTTAGTAGAGTGGTTTTGAGCAGGTTCCTTAATAACTTTGTGCCTTAGTTTCCTCCTCTGTGAAATGGTACGCACCTCAGAGGTTGTTAGAAAGACTCAGTGTGTTGGTATCTGTGAAGCTCCTGGCACGTGCCAAAGGCTGAGTGTTGATTGAATACCCAGTCTACACTCTGCTGACTCTCAGCTCACTCACTGCTCTTGGCCTAGCTGTCCCCTGAGCTCTGGGTGACATACCCACCTGCCTCCTGGACATCTCTCCCCCTGACATAAGCGTCTCTTCCCCTCACATCCCACATCCTCTGGCACCAAGGCCTGGAGCCTCTAACCTGGCTGCAATGCAGGCCACCTTCTCCTAGTCTCGTCTCTCCTCCCAGAACCCTCTTTGCCAAGGCCGGAGTGACTTTCTAAGATGGCATGCTCACAGGTACAACCCTCTAAAGTTCCCAGGCTGCCTGCAGAGAAGGTTGACATTAAATTCAAAGACCTTAGGAGCCAGCCCGTCGACCTCAGCTGCATCTTCATTTCCTTGCTACTCTGTTTTACACATGGACTTTCCCTCTGCCCAGAATGTTCTTCCCTCCCACCCCAGTTCCAATTTGTCTTTCGGATCTTCTCACTGAGAGCCTTTGATCGTTTACCAGGCTGGCCAGGGGACTCCTCCATTCTTGTGTTCATTGGTGTCTCCTTCCCTCGGGAGCTCTTGGAAGATGCCAGGATGGGAACAGAGTATTCCTTGGGATTAGGCCTGGCACAGAGAGGGTCTGAGAAGTGTCTATTAAATGGCTAAACTCTCTTACTCAAGGACTCAGTAAATTTAACAGTTGACGCTGGGAGTGTAGTATTATTCCAGCCTGACTCCTGAGGGGCTGACACTCTTCCCATCCTGTCCCAGCCCTCTTGTCCTGGCTTCTAGTGGCCACTAGGAGTCACCAGCTGCTTACTGTCTGCCGGGCCATTCTCCAGTCTCCTGGGATTCATGGCTGGAAAGACCAGTGCCTCCAGTAACCACCATTACTTACGTGCTCATGTGTCAGGCACAGTGCTCTGCACTTTTCATGCAGTAGTTTATTCCTCCCAACCTCCTGGTGGGGTATCTCTCATAGGTGATAAAATTGACAGGTATTATGTGAGGTCATACAGCTGGCACAGCTGGATTGTAACATGTATATGTATGTTTTAACAAAATAACATTTTGAGAATCTGGGCTTCCATTTACGCAAGATCAGGGCATCTTCCCCCTGCTCCCCAGCGCCCAAGGGGTATGTGCTCTGCCCCCACCATTGGTGGGGAATTCTAGCTTTGTGTATCCTAAATCCCTCCCTGCATCCTCTCTTCTGTTTTCCATCTGGGCCCTGGCCACCTACGCCTGAGTCTGGAGGGTCAGTGTCCCTTGAAGTGAGGGACATGCAGCCCCCAAAAGTGAAGTGAACTTGAATCCTGGGAGGCCGTTACTGGCTACACCATTTGGGGGCTGGTACCTCACAGCACTGCAGTGAAGGCTACTTAGATAATCCAGAAAAGGTGCTCAGAGATGACTTAACTCCACTCTAGGGCCAGCCACCCCTCTGCTCCCCGTAAACCTTTCCTTCTTTGTGGGGCCACTCTGATAGCACCCTTGGAGTGCTCACCTCAGGGAGCACATGTGTACCAACAGCTTACTTGGAATGCTTCTGGAGGAGCCAGTCTGGAAGGCCAGCCACAGGCCAAGTAGGTGGGCGTAGCTGGCAAAGACCGAGCAGGGGAAGAGCTCAGAGGAGAGTGGTTGGGAAGGTTGTACCTCCATCTAGTCTTTGAAGTCTCTGGTGGGGATAGAATCCAGGGGCTAAAAACCTCTCTAGGTCTTTCGTATCCTCCAGCTCTCCAGTCTGCATACCTTGCAGGTTTTCAGTACTTGGGCTGCATGCCTGAGTTGGGGTCTCTAATATCAAAACTGGAATACCCTTTCTCTTGCTGTGCACATGGATTGAGGCCCAGAGAGGAGCCAGGGTCTTGTGCAGGGTCATAGCAGAGCTGGGGTAAGGACTCAGCTGATTCCTCTTTTCTGAAAATTACCCTCAGGTTCTGCAGAGAGGAGCTGGCCTGGTCTTCGGATACCCAGTTCTAGGTTCTGCTCCGAGTGGTCTTTCTGAAAGACCTTGGGCAAATCACGGTGTCTTCCAGGGGAAGGATTTTCCCCATCTGTGAGACTTCCTGCCCCACAGCTCTGGGCCTCACAAAAGATGTCACAGCTCATCCCCGGGGGGGTTCTGTAAGCCTGCCCTGTCCAATCTCAGGCCTCAGTGAGCCTGAGACTAGACAGCAGCTCCTGCTGCCTCTCGGTCATCTCCCTGGAAGACACACCTCAGCTGGAGCCTGCTGTTCCTGACTCTCCCCTACCAGATGTGAGCCCCTTGGTGACAGAGATGAGATCAGAGTCACTTATGTCTCCAGTAGACAGAACAAGACCTGGGGTGGTCAGTTTGCTGACTGGACAAATAGGAATCGAACAGAGGTGGTCTTGGCCCTTAGAAAGTTTTCTGGAAGAATCTTGGTGGCACCAGGTATGGACCCATCTGTGAGAGTTGGCATACCATGTCTGGGTACAGGCTTGTTCCCTTTCTCTGGACACACATCTGGTCAAAAATATTTTCATTTTATCTGCTCAGTATTTTTGTTGATCCTCCTGGATCTTAAGAAGCAGTTTGTGGGCGCCTGGGTGGCGCAGTCGGCTAAGCGTCCGACTTCAGCCAGGTCACGATCTCGCGGTCCGTGAGTTCGAGCCCCGCGTCAGGCTCTGGGCTGATGGCTCAGAACCTGGAGCCTGTTTCCGATTCTGTGTCTCCCTCTCTCTCTGCCCCTCCCCCGTTCATGCTCTGTCTCTCTCTGTCCCAAAAATAAATAAACGTTGAAAAAAAAAAATTAAAAAAAAAAAAAAAAGCAGTTTGTATTGCCTTCTCATTCCTACTTTACAGATGAGGAAAGCAAGGACTAGAGAGGTGAAGAGATGAGCCTAAGGCCACAGCTAATAGAGGTGGCCAGGGACCTGAATATGGGCATTCTGACCAGGATCTCCCTATGCCCCTCACAGGACCAGGGGTGTGACGAGAACAAGAAGGCTGCTTAGGTGTTTAGCACACAGTGTGGAAAGGGTGTGAACCCTATTTGTGGGTCCATCTGTTTTTTCAGGATTACACTCCGGGAAAATATTCCCAGACTAGAGAGCTCTCAGAAACAGACATGAGAGAAGTACTTCATTTGTTGTTTTGGCCAACGGGACCAGGGGAAAATGGTCCAGGAACAGGATGCTCTTTGGCATTCACAGGGTTCTTGGATCAACAGTGACAGAGCAAACAGGGAGAGTCTAGGAGGAAACTTAATTCTGGTTGTGTCAGGTTGCAGGATTTCAGGACAAATTACAGTTCTCCCCCTTCTAAACTAAAATTTCTAGAACTTGGTTGTGGTTTTGTCATAAAAACCTCTTTGTAATGAGCAAAATAAACGCAAAGATTCCAAGCAGCTAGATTTTGTTGTAAAGCTACTCAGTTTAGTTAATCAGGCAGTAATTGGCTCCATAACTGAGGGCTGTGGCTGGACCCCGGGCAGCAAGGGAATAGTGCAGCCCAGGATGTGATTACAGCCCAGAGGAGGGTTTGCTTTCTCTCGGTGGACAGTCCAATGGCTTGAATTTTCTTTTTAGTTTCTGGCCATCCTGAGAAGTCTGTGTGCTCGGTTCTCAAATACTGTGACCTTTTTGTTTGGTGTTTTCATTGTGTCTAAAAACTGAACTCATGTAGCACGAAGTGTTGGATAAGCCCTTAGAAATCATTCCACTCCTTTCAAAGCTGGGGATGCAGCGGCCCAGAGGGGAAGGTCACCCATCAAGTGGTAGCAGGACTAAAGCCAGCTGATATCCTCCCACTTGCATATCTGTCTGGCTTATGGGTGTGGGCTAGGGTCGAAGGTCAGAGAGGAAAGGGTTCCAGGCGATATGTGGTGAATCTATGGCTTCATTGCTTTACAGTTAGTTCCTCTGATAACGGAGGCCAAAATTTAGCTGTGATGCTGGGGTGGGGCAATTAGCTTAACTCTGCCCCCTTATCACAGACTAAGCCCCTGCTGCCAATAGCAATCTCAAATGTGAACACCTTTCATTAGCAGGGGAAGGCAGAAGATGGAAAGGGTATTGAATGTGGTATTTAATACCTACCTACGTGCACCTACCTTCCCTTGACAACCTTGTGACCATGAGGCTGGAAGAAAGGAGCTCAGCTGTAGATCACTAAAGGTGGGGGAGGTGATGGCGAGGAATATTGGTGTTTGGTGGTGACCACCTGTGCTACAGACTTGAGGTATCCTTCTTGGATCCACAGTGTTATCCTCAAGTTTCCATGAGGATGTTGAGGCTCAGTTCCCACAGTTGTCAAGTGAGAGCCAGGATTGAACTGAGACCTTCTGACTCCACAGTCGATGCTGTTGTCTCTTATGCTGCTGGTGGGAGTGTTAACAGACACAATCATTTTGGAGGCCAATTTGGCAAAACCTAACAAAACTAAATGTCCATATAGCTTTTTTACTTTCAAATTCCATATTTGGGAATTTACCCAATATTTTTACTGGAACAAATTTATAAAGAATCATGTACAAATATGGTAATTTCAACTTTCTAACAGCAAATGGATGGATACAACCTAAACGCCCATCACTATAGGAGGCTTAAAATTGTGATATATCCAAACCATGGAGAATATAGCCTTCAAAAAGAATGAGGTAAACCTACTAAATATACAACCCCACATATGTAAAAAGGTAATGTGTACATGTATGAGTTTTATGTACAGAAAATGTCTAGAAGAATACATATTGCATGTGCCCAGCCCTGGGAAGAGGAGAGCTGTGGGGCCCCTCCCCAAACACACTGAGCCTTGGTCCTTGGTGTGGCTGGCTGGCAGCCAGAGGGACTTAGCCTTTAACTGGGAATTCAGTTCCCTCTCTATCTGTTTTATGGTTTAAAAAAGGAGGGCCTAGGGATATCTTTATAAAAAAGCATTGTCTATTTGGAAGGTCTATTTACCTAAATCTTTTTATAAGGAAACTTAGAAAACTTAATTCCATTTTTTTTAATTATTCAACATTTTATACATAATAAATACAAACTTTTTACAGCCACTGTAAAGAAAGCACATCTGCACAGAGGCACTCCCTCCAAGCCTGGCCCTGTGCACTGTGATGCTTGATTACATGTCCTGGAGGGAGGGGTTCTTTTTAAAAAGGAGGCATATTTTTACAACTTTGTTTTTTTAAAATAAAATTAGCAGCTCTTCCAAAAAATATTTTAAAATATAACAAAAGATTTCAAATAACTCTCTGAGAATGTGGAAAATCCAGATTCAAGGACAATTTGGCTAGCTAAAGAGAGAATACAAGACTGGGTAGCGAGAACTGCCTGATTTAAGCACTTGGAAGATTTTGTAAAGTGCTTTGAAGATTTTTAACATGTCAGAGAACTTTAAAATCTTAAAAAACCACCCTTTTAATTTCTTTTTTAAACTTAAGAATAAGTTTGATAAACACAAAAAGACCTCAAATAGATCAACAGGTTAAGAAATGCAAAAAACGAAACAAAAACCCCAAATTACGGAGAAGACTCGTCGCTGGGTACTGTCACTGAAGTGATCAAATGACGAACTGAAGACTTCTTCAGCTATAACCTGACTTTTGGTCAAAAATCCCATGGGGACATTTGGCGAGCATTTCAAGTTTTAAAGATTCTTAGAAGGGATGGAGTTTTCAAAGCATAATAACAACTTTTAGATTAAA